GTCAATCAGTGTTGCTTCCTAAGTGGACAGTTCGATTTCACAGAAGTGTGATTGACTTGGAGTTACATTGTGTTGTTTAAGTGTTCCCTTTATTTTTTTGAGCAGTGTATTTAAAATGACTTTGAATACTATTTGAACCCAGGTCTGTAGAGTTGTTTCTAGTCTGGCCCTTGACGTGATTGAACCGCCCCAAAAGAAAACTAGTAGTATAAAAAGAAGAAAATATCATGCTTTTGATGCTTTCAATACACCTTCTACAGTGCAAATTAAAAAGGAAAGAGATTGTATCTTTTCAGGATCATAAAATGAAAGAAAGGCTTTGTTTGTAAAACAGGGAGGGGCATCAAGGAGTCTGGACTAAAGGATACGTGTTATACAATGCCCCAATGGTATACCTGGGCGGGCCTAACTACCAGACTGGTAGAGGGAGGGAGTGATGAAGAGAAATAAGCAAAGAAAATATTCAAATAATAATATTATATCCACCTCATTTTCGAACGCTTTTAAAACACGGAAGCCAAACGCTGAAACCATGGATACAACTTCCTCCGCACTCGAACATTATCATAATTCATATGCGCGCCACTGGAAATCCCTGCATTAGCATGTTCCTGTTAGCTGATACGTCATGACAAAATACACCATATTACTGTCCTGATAATGTGCCTGGACCTTGTAGGCTAAACTGCCGAGAACAAACCCATAACTGTTCCAAATGGTTTCCCAATCAGGCAGGTTAGTTGCAGTTATTTCGAAATGAATATGTATTCAAAACGGCAGGCTTTTGAGCAGTTATTCAAATGACATAGGCTATTCAGTGCAGTTTACAGCTTAGACTAGTTTTATACTCACTTGAAAACAATAACATTCTTCATTACGTTGTGTTGTTTCATCCTAGGTAGGATACATTTCTTGTCCCTAAAATACTGACAAGTAGTGGCCTGAGGGAACACACTAAATGTATTGGATAAAGTGTTGTGAAATATAACGTCATGTAATATTTTAAAATGTATATAACTGCCTTAATGTTGCATGACCCCAGGAAGAGTAATGGGGATCCTTAATAAATACAAATACAAAAACAAAAGGGTAGCTTTTGGAGCTGTGTAGGCCTACCCGGGGACTGGGAGGGAGCGCACAGTGTAGGCTATCTAACCTACGAAACAATTGTTTCTTTCGCTGTGTAAATTAACTGGATATTCACTGCAGTATTAAACCTAACATCGAGCTTATGAATTATGGGTTAATATGAATACGCTTCTTACTTTGGCTACAGGCTACATCTGGAGCCTGTCTGTCCTTCGTTGTTCTGTTGCGTAATGACGCACCTGGCCTCTCCGCTGACACGGCTATTCCTCTTAAATCTTGTAGAGTCCCAGGAAAAGCGAGACTACAAAAGCTTGTTGGTCATTTATTTATTTAGAAATATTTTCTTTAGTCTACTGATATCCTATTGGGAGGAGAAATGCACGCTTGCTGAATGTAAAATAGCCTACTGCATTAACGGGCGGGGAGTTGGAAAGGAGAAGCCCATATTTTCCTATAGTCGGCATATCTCAACACCGGGTTACACCCTGACAAAACAGCCCTACGCCATATGAGTGGCCTGCTAGTGTACCTTTCTGGACCGGCTAAACGGTCGAGAATAGACCCAGACGGTTGCGTTATCAGGCTGTAGGCTACTCCGTTATTTCGGCACGAAACAAAACAGGAGTGTGAGCGGTTATTCAAATTAGCCTAGATCAATACAGCCTATGGACAAAAATGGTGTACTCACTTGATAAACAATAATACAATGTTGTTGTAGCCCAGGTAGAATAATGCTAGGACTAGTCAATAGTGAAGCTTTGCGTGCCCAGGGACCACAGAGCACAGCCTGGAGGGACGCACTACGGATCTGCAATTTCATAATCTGTTAACTGATTTTTCTTGCACTTTGGCAGGTAAATATTTAGCCTATAGCCCTAATATCTAGCTAATATTTTGCTTCTTACTTCGGCTCCACTTCACTAGCCTCTCTCTTCCTTCCAGCTGTTCCTGTGCGCAACAGGCTATCGGCTACGCAAGCATTTTCCTCTTCTCGTGAAATGCCAGGAAAAGCTAGAGGCTACAAAAGCTACAGGATATTTATTTTGATTCCTTTTTTTATACTAGGCCTAATAGCCTATTCGGGGAAAGAAGCAGGCTTGCTCTTGCTAATTGCTGAATGTAAAACAGGCCTAGATCATTGAAAATGCATGTTGGGAAAAGTTGAGGAGAGACATGAATATGCATTAAAAACGGCAGGCTTTTGATGCATTGTTGTGATCACTTTTGGCCGCGTGAGAACATTGTTGCACTGATGCATTGCAAATAGTTACACAGGACATACAGAGATGAGTGAAAACAGTGAAAAAGACCCAAAGGCATTGACAACCATTAGATAAATGGAAATCACTTGCAAACTACTTGAGCAATGAGGCAATGATGACATGCTGTAAAATATGTGCAGGCTAAACAGCGTTTGTTGTTGAATTGCTACATTTAAATACTAGTTACTATATTGTTTTTCATTAGGCAGACATGTACATTAAAGTAGCCTATTATTTGCAGTTGTCACTATGACAATAAACACCCTGAAAACACTGAATGGTCCTGTGTTACCACTTTATTAATAGCGGCTTGCAGTAGGATGCGTTGATCCGTTGATTGACATGTGTAGGACTGTAGAACGAAAAACAAACTTCCCTCTAGTGAGAATGCTCACCAACGTTTTCAAGTTATGTAGCCTATAGTTTATCATTATAGTTATTGGCTTGGTGGATGGCCCGGGCCTTAACTCTGCCACAACAGAACTAGCCTACTAGTAGGTCTAGCTAACGTTATTATCACAACAGAACTAGCCTACTAGTAGGTATAGCTAACGTTAGCGAACTTGAATTCAATAATATAATATAACATTACACTTATACTTGTTTACTTGACTTTTAATCTCTTTGACTCAAATAAATGACTCTGTCAAGTTTGCCAATTGGCGCACCGCGGTAGGGAAGTAAAGCGGAAGTCAACTAATTCACTTCCGTTGTTTGGCTGTGCCCATAGCAACGTTCGAAAATGAGTTGGATACCTTTAAATGAAACGGTCGTTGGCTCTAAGGAATAAGAGATACTAACTATAAAAAGCAACATAATAAAACTTTGACTTTTAATAAATTAGATGACCATGTGAGCTGTGTTGTATTTCAATTGAAGCCTGAAGGCTGGGGCCTAGTCCATTATGTAGTGCACTACTTTTGACCAGGGATACCCATAAGGCTCTGATCAAAAGTAATGCACTACATAGGGAATAGGGTGCCATTTCGGAGGTGCCCTGGGTTTTATGTATTTTTCAACCTCTTATTAAGAAGTAGGGCCAAGTATATATTAACCCTTGCTTTCTTCACAGTAACGTTTTCATGACAAACATCACCGTGTAAGCAAAGCTGCACATTTATTAAACCCCTGATAGGAATACAGCTGTATGGAGATTTAGCTAAGTCCCCCCCCCCCCCCCCACCCCCACTTCAGTCTCTGTACCAGTCCCACAGCAGAGACAGGGATATGTCCCAAATGGCACCCATCTCCTATATAGTGCACTACTTTTGACCAGAGACCTATGGGTTTCCCTATGGGCCCTGGTCAAAAGTAGTGCACTATAAAGGGAATAAGGATGCCATTTGGGACAGAGACAGGACCTGGCCTTGCTCTGAGCAGTGGCTGCGCTACCTTCAAAACCAAACCCTGACCTCATCCTGTGCCTTTCTTCAATGCAATACTTCAGTTGGCCACACAGTGGCGACAAACCCACAAGGCAGACATTGCCCTTTTTATGTTTCCCTCAGAGGAATGGCAGCCATTTCTGTCCAGGATGATTAATAGGATACACACAGGGCTGTAGATGCTCCCTTTAAGTTTCTCACGTGTCTCTAATCTAGGAGGAGCACAACAGTCAGAAAGGATTGTCCTTTACAGTTTAAGGTCACAACCTTTCACCTTTACTGTCAGACAGTAGCATAGACATACAGCGGCCTTCCATCCATTCCATCACTGCTCCGTCAGATCCTTATGAATACACATCACAGCTCCATCAGGTCCTCATTATTACAGATCACTGCTCCATCAGGTCCTCATTATTACAGATCACTGCTCCATCAGGTCCTCATTATTACACATCACTGCTCCATCAGATCCTAATTATTACACATCACTGCTCCATCAGGTCCTCATTATTACAGATCACTGCTCCATCAGGTCCTCATTATTACAGATCACTGCTCCATCAGGTCCTCATTATTACAGATCACTGCTCCATCAGGTCCTCATTATTACACATCACTGCTCCATCAGGTCCTCATTATTACAGATCACTGCTCCATCAGGTCCTCATTATTACAGATCACTGCTCCATCAGGTCCTCATTATTACAGATCACTGCTCCATCAGGTCCTCATTATTACAGATCACTGCTCCATCAGGTCCTCATTATTACAGATCACTGCTCCATCAGGTCCTCATTATTACAGATTAATAATGTGCTTTTCTTTCTCCAAAACGTCTCACGGTTTCTTTCTTTATTTTTGTTTCCTGTTTTCTCCAAAATAGAATAATTGAGGATAGGGTAGTGGGGAGGAGGACATCTGAAGAGGGAGGATGAAGATGTGTCATGTACAGCTTCCCTTCTCCTGAATGATGTTTGGTACGTTCCAAATGGCACCCCAATCCCTACATAGTACTTTACTTTTCACACGATCCTTATAGGAATAGGTGCCTTTTTTGGAAGCAGCCTGGGTTTTATTTTGTAACTTATTTTTTCAAGAGGAAGAAGACACGCTAACACCCTGTGGGCCCTGGTCAAAAGTTGTGCACTATATAGGGAATAGAGGTTTCCATCCATTTGAGACGCAGTCCCAGGTTCGGCTGCTACAGGTTCTCCTCCCTGAGGCCCTCCAGGATCTTGATGAGGCTCTCCAGTCCAAACACGTAGCCCCGATCCGGCCCGTCGTGCACTGTCTGGTCGTCACGGAAACCTTTGAAGGTGCTGTGGGCAAAGTCTATCATGCGGACGTCCACACTTATGCTAGGGCCGGAGGGGCATGGTAGCGGGGGAGAGGGGGCGTGGGGGTCTGAGGGCAGAGGTGGAGGGGGCAGGAGAGGCTCATGGTGGGGCTGCTGTGGCTGTGGAGTGGTGGGGGTGGGGGGGCATTCTGGTGGAGATGGTACAGCCTGGGGCAGCTGGAGGGGCTGGAGAGGGGCTTCTGTCAGTCCATGGGCCCCTTGGAGGACTCCACCTTGGAGCCCCACTCCTAACCCCGGTCCTTGGACACCTTGGAGCCTCACTCCTAACCCCGGTCCTTGGACACCTTGGAGCCCCACTCCTAACCCCGGTCCTTGGACACCTTGGAGCCCCACTCCTAACCCCGGTCCTTGGACACCTTGGAGGACTCCACCTTGGAGCCCCACACCTAACCCCGGTCCATGGGCCCCTTGGAGGACTCCACCTTGGAGCCCCACTCCTAACCCCGGTCCTTGGACACCTTGGAGCCTCACTCCTAACCCCGGTCCTTGGACACCTTGGAGCCTCACTCCTAACCCCGGTCCTTGGACACCTTGGAGCCTCACTCCTAACCCCGGTCCTTGGACACCTTGGAGCCTCACTCCTAACCCCGGTCCTTGGACACCTTGGAGCCTCACTCCTAACCCCGGTCCTTGGACACCTTGGAGCCCCACTCCTAACCCCGGTCCTTGGACACCTTGGAGCCTCACTCCTAACCCCGGTCCTTGGACACCTTGGAGCCTCACTCCTAACCCCGGTCCTTGGACACCTTGGAGCCTCACTCCTAACCCCGGTCCTTGGACACCTTGGAGCCCCACTCCTAACCCCGGTCCTTGGACACCTTGGAGCCTCACTCCTAACCCCGGTCCTTGGACACCTTGGAGCCTCACTCCTAACCCCGGTCCTTGGACACCTTGGAGCCCCACTCCTAACCCCGGTCCTTGGACACCTTGGAGCCCCACTCCTAACCCCGGTCCTTGGACACCTTGGAGCCTCACTCCTAACCCCAGTCCTTGGACACCTTGGATTCCTACCCCTGGGTTGACCACCACCTCCTTCTCTGAGGGCACCTCAGCTGCTGGCTGTGGTGCTGGTGGTTTCTGGTTTTCCCAGGGCTCTGCCGGGGCCTGTGGTGGTGATGCTTTCTGCTGCCAGGTTTCCTGTGGTGCTTTCTGCCAGACGTGGGCCAGCTCAGGCTCCTTCCCCTCATAGATGATGAGCAGGGAGGAGGAGTAGAAACGGTAGGTGGTCTGTCTCTCAAGAACGGCCTTCAGGCTGCGTAGCTTACACAGCATGGGCTCAAACAGATCCTTCCTGAGCGACGTCCCGTTGTGCATGAACTGGTAGAGGGCATGGCGGAAGCCCTCGATGGACAGGCTGCGGCCGTAGTACTTGTTCCTGCACAGATAGTGGCCCGTGTCCATCTGGTACACCTGGACCATAGAACCACAGAGAGAACAGAGGTTACACCTGGACCATAGAACCACAGAGAGAACAGAGGTTACACCTGGACCATAGAACCACAGAGAGAACAGAGGTTACACCTGGACCATAGAACCACAGAGAGAACAGAGGTTACACCTGGACCATAGAACCACAGAGAAACAGGTTACACCTGGACCATAGAACCACAGATGTGAGGTTACACCTGGACCAAAAGAACACAGAGATAAGAGGATACACCTGGATCATAGAACACAGAGATAAGAGGATATACCTGGACCATAGAGCACAGAGATAAGAGGATATACCTGGACCATAAAACACAGAGATAAGAGGATATACCTGGACCATAAAACACAGAGATAAGAGGATATACCTGGACCATAAAACACAGAGATAAGAGGATATACCTGGACCATAAAACACAGAGATAAGAGGATATACCTGGACCATAGAACACAGAGATAAGAGGATATACCTGGACCATAGAACACAGAGATAAGAGGATATACCTGGACCATAGAACACAGAAAAGGATATACCGGACAGAAAGGATAAGAGGATATACCTGGACCATAAAACACAGAGATAAGAGGATATACCTGGATCATAGAACACAGAGATAAGAGGATATACCTGGACCATAAAACACAGAGATAAGAGGATATACCTGGACCATAAAACACAGAGATAAGAGGATATACCTGGACCATAGAACACAGAGATAAGAGGATATACCTGGACCATAAAACACAGAGATAAGAGGATATACCTGGACCATAAAACACAGAGATAAGAGGATATACCTGGACCATAGAACACAGAGATAAGAGGATATACCTGGACCATAGAACACAGAGATAAGAGGATATACCTGGACCATAAAACACAGAGATAAGAGGATATACCTGGACCATAAAACACAGAGATAAGAGGATATACCTGGACCATAGAACACAGAGATAAGAGGATATACCTGGACCATAAAACACAGAGATAAGAGGATATACCTGGACCATAGAACACAGAGATAAGAGGATATACCTGGACCATAAAACACAGAGATAAGAGGTTACACCCGGTACTACACAACACACAGAGGCTCCGTCCCAAATGACACCCTATTCCCTACAAAGTGCACTACTTTTGACCAGGGCACATAGGGGTAGTGCACTACCGAGGGAATAGGGTGCCATTTGGGATGCAGACAGAGAGTACAGAGGTTAGACCTGTACCATTAAAACAGAACACAGAGGGGGGGACAGAAAAACACAACAGAACATGGTGAGTCATTCTGATTTATGGGGGAGAGAGAGAGAGAACAAAACCATACAAATGGAGGAGGAGAGGAGGCCTTCTGAAGCTGGACGTTGGGATCAATGCTGGGGGCCATTGTCCCTGCTAGTGTTACAGGCCCTACATTGTGAACAGACAATCACGGCGTCCGTCCCTCTGGAATTCGTGGTGTGCCTCTCAACGTCTGTCTGTCTGTGTGTGTGTGTGTGTGTGTGTGTGTGTGTGTGTGTCTGTGTGTGTGTGTGTGTCTGGGGGTGTTGGGATCAAGGAGGAAGGTGAAATTCAGTTCCAACCGAATGGGCAATAAAGTGCAGTATGTCCCAGTTGTCTCTTGTTTCTAACTTGATAGGATACTCAGTATCCCTCCTGTCCTGCTCGGCTTCCTGTTGTGGGATCTCTGTGTCAGCCCAGGTGTTAGTAGAATCAATATGAAGAGATACGGAGTAAGGGATCTACGGAGTAAGGGATCTACGGAGTAAGGGATCTACGGAGTAAGGGATCTAGGGAGTAAGGGATCTACGGAGTAAGGGATCTAGGGAGTAAGGGATCTAGGGAGTAAGGGATCTACGGAGTAAGGGATCTACGGAGTAAGGGATCTACGGAGCTGTAGCTACTGTGTAAGCCATCCTTACTGATACCCAAACTAGCAAACAATGTAGAACGAAGCACTGCATTGGGCATGCATTCTAAGTGGTAGCCTACAGCTCCTTCGGAAAGTATTCAGACCCCTTGACCTTTCCCATATTTTGTTACGCTACAGCCTTATTCTAAAATGGATTAAATATATTTTTTTCTCAGCAATCTACACACAATACCCCATATTGACAAAGCGAAAACAGGTTTTGAGAAAGTTTTTGGGAATTTATAACAAATAAAAAACAGAAATACCTTATTTGCTTAAGTATTCAGACCTTTTGCTATGAGACTCGAAATTGAGCTCAGGTGCATCCTGTTTCCATTGATCATCCTTGATGTTTCTATAACTTGATTGAAGTCCACTTGTGGTAAATTCAATGGATTGGACATGATTTGGAAAGGCACACACCTGTCTATATAAGGCCCCACAGTTGACAGTGCATGTCAGAGCAAAAACCAAGCCATGAGGTTGAAGGAATTGTCCGTAGAGCGCCGAGACAGGATTGTGTCGATGCACAGATCTGGGGAAGGGTACCAAAATATTTCTGCAGCATTGAAGGTCCCCAAGAACACAGTGGCCTCCATCATTCTGAAATGGAAGAAGTTTGGAACCACCAAGACTCTTCCTAGAGATGGCCGCCCGGCCAAACTGAGCAATCGGGGGAGAAGGGCCTTGGTCAGTGAGGTGACCAAGAATCTGATGGTCACTCTGACAGAGCTCTAGAGTTCCTCTGTGGAGATGGGAGAACCTTCCAGAAAGACAACCATCTCTGCAGCACTCCACTAATCAGGCCTTTATGGTAGAGTGGCCAGACGGAAGCCACTCCTCAGTGAAAGGCACTTGACAGCCCGCTTGGAGTTTGCCAAAAGGCACCTAAAGGACTCTGACCATGAGAAACAAGATTATCTGGTCTGATGAAAACAAGACTTAACTCTTTGGCCTGAATGCCAAGCGTCACGTCTGGAGGAAACCTGGCACCATCCCTACGGTGAAGCATGGTGGTGGCAGCATCATGCTGTGGGGATGTTTTTCAGCAGCAGGGACTGGGAGACTAGTCAGGATCGATTCAAAGATGAATGGAGCAAAGTACAGAGAGATCCTTGATGAAAACCTGCTCCAGAGCGCTCAGGACCTCAGACTGGGGTGAAGGTTCACCTTCCAACAGGACAACGACTCTAAGCACACAGCCAAGACAACGAAGGAGTGGCTTCGGGACAAGTCTCTGAATGTCCTTGAGTGGCCCAGCCAGAGCCCGGACTTGAACCCGATCTAACATCTCTGGAGAGACCTGAAAATAGCTGTTCAGTGACACTCTCCATCCAACCTGACAGAGCTTGAGAGGATCTGCAGAGAAGAATGGGAGAAACTCCCCAAATACAGGTGTGCCAAGCTTTTACCGTCATACCCAAGAAGACTTGAGGCTGTAATCGCTGCCAAAGTTGCTTCAACAAAGTACTGAGTAAAGGGTCTGAATACTTATTTAAATTTGATATTTCTAAAAACCTGTTTTTGCTTTGTCATTATGGGGTATTGTGTGTAGATTGATGAGGGGAAAAAACAATTTAATCAATTTTAGAATAAGGCTGTAACGTAACAAAATGTGGAAAAAGTAAAGGGGTCTGAATACTTTCCAAAGGCACTGTATGCTGGCATGCTTGCTGTTGTCTTGGCTAGGTCTCCTTTGCAAAAGAGAGCTTTACACTTTCAGGTGAATTAAAAGTTTAAAAAGACATAGAAAACCCTGGACTCACCTGCATCCCACAGACACGTACCCCCAGGGTGGCGGAGGTGCTCTGTTCACACTTCTTCATCTGCCTGGCAGCCTTCTCCTCCGAGGCATCGTCCCCGTGCTGCCGTGTGCCCATCTTCAGGTCCAGGATGCACGGGTAGCTGAAGTGGTGAACCACGTTCTCCAGGAGCAGAAACTCTGGGAGGGGTTAGAGGTCAAGGAGACAACGCTCTCTTCGAAGTAAGGTATTAGCTAAACAGTAAAAGTCACTCAAGGAAATGCTCCCTCTTCCAATTGTAGCGGAGGTGAGTCGGGACTCACACTCGCGTGACTCAGGTAGCCCTGCCTGCGACTTAAAATCAGTGTCACCCTCGGTCCAAGAGGCAAATTCCTCTTGCTCTTAAAAGGGTTAAGATCTTGGTTTCTTGAGTGGGAGACCGGGGTTCAGATCCCACCAGTTACACAGGGGGAGGTGTCAGCTTAAAAATTTAAGTCATAGTCTCACTTAATTTGATTGAATAGTACTCTAGTAATAGTTTAGTTGGTATGACACAGCATAGCATAGCCCATCATGGGTTCACATTCCTGTGTTCATAGCTTACTGACTCAAACACCCTGTATAAACGGGCCTGTAGATGCATAACTAAAGTATTGCCAGTGATATTTAGCTATACACAACAGGGAGACTACTTACACACAGCAGCTAATAAGAGCGGGAAGGAGACGGAGGGAGTGGAGTTGAGCCAAATAACAGAGCAATCAACACTATCCCCTGGCTGGATTCCCCTTCTGAGTGTGAAGTTTGACGACGCAAGTGAAGTCCTTAATCTGTCATATTTAGGTGTACAGAAGAGAGCCAGTGGAGAGAACATGGGAAGAATTGGAGTTGAGGCAAATAAAGAAGCAACTAACACCCGGCTGGCATCCCCCTGAGAGTGGAGTAGCTGGCACTTTGATGTGTAGATGAGCTAAATACTATAGACTCATAACACCCATATAACCCCCGCTGCCATCTAAATACTATAGACTCATAACACCCATATAACCCCCGCTGCCATCTAAATACTATAGACTCATAACACCCATATAACCCCCGCTGCCATCTAAATACTATAGACTCATAACACCCATATAACCCCCGCTGCCATCTAAATACTAGAGACTCATAACACCCATATAACCCCCGCTGCCATCTAAATACTATAGACTCATAAACACCCATATAACCCCCGCTGCCATCTAAATACTATAGACTCATAACACCCATATAACCCCCGCTGCCATCTAAATACTATAGACTCATAACCCCCATATAAACCCCCGCTGCCATCTAAATACTATAGACTCATAACACCCATATAACCCCCCGCTGCCATCTAAATACTATAGACTCATAACACCCATATAACCCCCGCTGCCATCTAAATACTATAGACTCATAACACCCATATAACCCCCGCTGCCATCTAAATACTATAGACTCATAACACCCATATAACCCCCGCTGCCATCTAAATACGAGAAGTAAAGAAAAGAAAAGAGTATTAGAATAGTTGATCTATCTTCACCTATATCACAGCCTTACAGCCAACAGTCTTCCACTACACCTATATCACAGCCTTACAGCCAACAGTCTTCCACTACACCTATATCATAGCCTTACAGCCAACAGTCTTCCACTACACCTATATCACAGCCTTACAGCCAACAGTCTTCCACTACACCTATATCACAGCCTTACAGCAACAGTCTTCCACTACACCTATATCACAGCCTTACAGCCAACAGTCTTCCACTACACCTATATCACAGCCTTACAGCCAACAGTCTTCCACTACACCTATATCACAGCCTTACAGCCAACAGTCTTCCACTACACCTATATCACAGCCTTACAGCCAACAGTCTTCCACTACACCTATATCACAGCCTTACAGCCAACAGTCTTCCACTACACCTATATCATAGCCTTACAGCCAACAGTCTTCCACTACACCTATATCACAGCCTTACAGCCAACAGTCTTCCACTACACCTATATCACAGCCAACATTCTTCCACTACACCTATATCACAGCCTTACAGCCAACAGTCTTCCACTACACCTATATCACAGCCTTACAGCCAACAGTCTTCCATCACACCTATATCACAGCCAAGTCTTCCACTACACCTATATCACCGCCTTACAGCCAACAGTCTTCCACTACACCTATATCACAGCCAACAGTCTTCCATCACACCTATATCACAGCCAAGTCTTCCACTACACCTATATCACAGCCTTACAGCCAACAGTCTTCCACTACACCTATATCATAGCCCTACAGCCAACAGTCTCCCACTACATCTATATCACAGCCTTACAGCCAACAGTCTTCCACTACACCTATATCACAGCCTTACAGCCAACAGTCTTCCACTACACCTATATCACAGCCTTACAGCCAACAGTCTTCCACTACACCTATATCATAGCCTTACAGCCAACAGTCTTCCACTACACCTATATCACAGCCTTACAGCCAACAGTCTTCCACTACACCTATATCACAGCCTTACAGCCAACAGTCTTCCACTACACCTATATCACAGCCAACAGTCTTCCACTACACCTATATCATAGCCTTACAGCCAACAGTCTTCCACTACACCTATATCACAGCCTTACAGCCAACAGTCTTCCACTACACCTATATCACAGCCTTACAGCCAACAGTCTTCCACTACACCTATATCACAGCCTACAGCCAACAGTCTTCCACTACACCTATATCACAGCCAACAGTCTTCCACTACACCTATATCATAGCCTTACAGCCAACAGTCTTCCACTACACCTATATCACAGCCTTACAGCCAACAGTCTTCCACTACACCTATATCACAGCCTTACAGCCAACAGTCTTCCACTACACCTATATCACAGCCAACAGTCTTCCACTACACCTATATCATAGCCTTACAGCCAACAGTCTTCCACTACACCTATATCACAGCCTTACAGCCAACAGTCTTCCACTACACCTATATCACAGCCTTACAGCCAACAGTCTTCCACTACACCATATCACAGTCTTAACAGCCAACAGTCTTCCACTACACCTATATCACAGCCTTACAGCCAACAGTCTTCCACCACATTTATATCACAGCCAACAGTCTTCCACTACACCTATATCACAGCCTTTTACAGCCACAGTCTTCCACTACATCTATATCACAGCCTTACAGCCAACAGTCTTCCACTACACCTATATCACAGCCAACAGTCTTCCACTACAACCTATATCAGAGCCTTACAGCCAACAGTCTTCCACTACACCTATAATCCAGCCTTACAGTCCAACAGATCCACTACACCTATAATCACAGCCTTAACCAACAGTCTTCCCCAACAACCTATATCACAGCCTTACAGCCAACAGTCTTTCCACTAACACCTATATCACAGCCTTATCAGCCAACAGTCTTCCACTACACCTATATTCACAGCCTTACAGCCAACAGTCTCCACTACAACCGATACACAGCCTTACAGCCAACAGTCTTCCACTACACCTATATCACAGCCACAGTCTTCCACTACACCTATATCATAGCCTTACAGCCACACAGTCTTCCCTACACCTATATCACAGCCTTACAGCCAACAGTCTTCCACTACAACCTATATCACAGCCTTACAGCCAACAGTCTTCCACTACACCTATATCACAGCCTTACAGCCAACCATCTTCCACTACCACCTATATCACACCTTACAGCCAACAGTCTTCCACTACACCTATATCACAGTCTTAACAGCCAACAGTCCTTCCACTACACCTATATCACAGCCTTACAGCCAACAGTCTTCCACTACACACCTATATCACAGCCAAGTCTTCCACTACACCTATATCACAGCCTTACAGCCAACAGTCTTCCACTAACACCTATATCACAGCCTTACAGCCAACAGTCTTCCACTACACCTATATCACAGCCAAGTCTTCCACTACACCTATATCACAGCCTTACAGCCAACAGTCTTCCACTACACCTATATCACAGCCTTACAGCCAACAGTCTTCCACTACACCTATATCATAGCCTTACAAGCCAACAAGTCTTCCACTACAACCTATATCACAGCCTTACAGCCAACAGTCTTCCCACTACACCTATATCACAGCCTTACAGCCAACAGTCTTCCATCACACCTATATCACAGCCAAGTCTTCCACTACACCTATATCACAGCCTTACAGCCAACAGTCTTCCACTACACCTATATCACAGCCAACAGTCTTCCACTACACCTATATCATAGCCTTACAGCCAACAGTCTTCCACTACACCTATATCACAGCCTTACAGCCAACAGTCTTCCACTACAACCCTATATCACAGCCTTACAGCCAACAGTCTTCCACTACACCTATATCACAGCCTTACAGCCAACAGTCTTCCACTACACCTATATCACAGTCTTACAGCCAACAGTCTTCCACTACACCTATATCACAATCTTACAGCCAACAGTCTTCCACCACATTTATATCACAGCCAACAGTCTTCCACTACACCTATATCACAGCCTTACAGCCAACATTCTTCCACTACACCTATATCACAGCCTTACAGCCAACAGTCTTCCACTACACCTATATCACAGCCTTACAGCCAACAGTCTTCCACTACACCTATATCACAGCCTTACAGCCAACAGTCTTCCACTACACCTATATCACAGCCTTACAGCCAACAGTCTTCCACTACACCCTACATCACAGCCAACAGTCTTCCACTACACCTATATCACAGGCCCTCCTATACACAGCCTTACAGCCAACAGTCTTCCACTACACCTATATCACAGCCTTACAGCCAACAGTCTTCCACTACACCTATATCACAGCCTTACAGCCAACAGTCTTCCACTACACCTATATCACAGCCTTACAGCCAACAGTCTTCCACTACTACACCTATATCACAGCCTTACAGCCAACAGTCTTCCACTACACCTATATCACAGCCTTACAGCCAACAGTCTTCCACTACACCTATATCACAGCCTTACAGCCAACAGTCTTCCACTACACCTATATCACAGCCTTACAGCCAACAGTCTTCCACTACACCTACATCACAGCCTTACAGCCAACAGTCTTCCACTACACCTATTTGACAGCCTTACAGCCAACAGTCTTCCACTACACCTATATCACAGCCTTACAGCCAACAGTCTTCCACTACACCTATATCACAGCCAAGTCTTCCACTACACCTATATCACAGCCTTACAGCCAACAGTCTTCCACTACACCTATATCACAGCCTTACAGCCAACAGTCTTCCACTACACCTATATCACAGCCAACAGTCTTCCACTACACCTATATCACAGCCTTACAGCCAACAGTCTTCCACTACACCTATATCACAGCCAACAGTCTTCCACTACACCTATATCACAGCCAACAGTCTTCCACTACACCTATATCACAGCCAACAGTCTTCCACTACACCTATATCACAGCCAACAGTCTTCCACTACACCTATATCACAGCCTTGTGCTACTCTGTGGTACCTTGTTGTGGTCTAGAACCTTCCAGCATTCTTTAAACCCCAGGCATACATGTCGTCATAGTAATCATTCGTGATTGGGACACAGGCCTACAGCTGGATCGACAAAACAGATGGCGTGGTAAGACATGGACATTCAACCACTTTTGAGGCCTGAAAGAATATATCATTTTAGGATTCATAGCGTTTGAACCCAAATGAAACCGTTTCAAATGCAGGAGTGAAGTCTCAGTAAAACATCCATTTTAATCTCTTTTTCCTCTCAGTGTGCAAAAAGCTAAAACAGAGCAAGAAGAATGTGTGAGCACAGTGGAAACTCTAATCTGCCCCCGTCGTCTCGGGTTTCTGCTGCAGATGTAGATGTGAGAGAGACTCAGGACAGTGTTTTCTCCTTTAACATGGGGGGGCTCCGGGGCTCACGTCAGCTAATAATTTCAAACAAAAGGACAGACAGTCAGGTACACAGTGAACTTGTTCTAAGAGCCTAAACAATCAAACCACCCACTTCGCAGGCCATCGGAGACACAGGACACTTCCAAAATGGCACCCTATTCCCTACGCAGTGCACTACTTTTGACCAGGGCCCATAGAGCTCTGGTCAAAAGTAGTGCACCGTATAGGGACTAGGGTGCTGTTAGGGACACCCCCCAGAGACTAAAGTCGAGGACATCCCCATCCTATTCCCAACCCTGCGGTCGACAAGTACAACATGTTATTTCTTCTGATAATATTTGGTTCCTGTGGCGGTGGTGGTCAGTGTTTATACGGTCAGTGAAGAACCTGACACTACTTTGACCGTTGGGAAAGAAGGGTGCAGCTCTCGAGGACAGCCCTGGCGTGAATTCCACATCTCGGCAGCACCTCAACTCTCGGCTGTATTTCAAATGGCACCCTGTTTCACCATATAGAGAATAACGCACCATCTGGGACGGAGCCTAGGTTGGTCCGGGCCCCTGTCTTTTCCCACGGCCTACTCTGACTGGTCAGAGCATCGGAGCACTCCAGGGTCTGTCAGTGTTATGACAGCAGTGTTGCAACGCTGCTCCTGACCAACGCCTTTGTTCAGGTAATGGAGTCAGATAGATGGTGTTTGTTTAAACTTGACCTGGTCATTTGGTCAACTCCCCCCCGTTAGCACTTTCCCTCTGTTCATCCTTCTATGTATCCATCCTTCTCCTTAACCCTCTGTTCATCCTTCTATGTATCCATCCTTCTCCTTTCCCTCTCTGTTCATCCTTCTATGTATCCATCCTTCTCCTTTCCCTCTGTTCATCCTTCTATGTATCCATCCTTCTCCTTTCCCTCTGTTCATCCTTCTATGTATCCATCCTTCTCCTTTCCCTCTGTTCATCCTTCTATGTATCCATCCTTCTCCTTAACCCTCTGTTCATCCTTCTATGTATCCATCCTTCTCCTTAACCCTCTGTTCATCCTTCTATGTATCCATCCTTCTCCTTTCCCTCTGTTCATCCTTCTATGTATCCATCCTTCTCCTTTCCCTCTCTGTTCATCCTTCTATGTATCCATCCTTCTCCTTTCCCTCTCTGTTCATCCTTCTATGTATCCATCCTTCTCCTTTCCCTCTGTTCATCCTTCTATGTATCCATCCTTCTCCTTTCCCTCTGTTCATCCTTCTATGTATCCATCCTTCTCCTTTCCCTCTGTTCATCCTTCTATGTATCCATCCTTCTCCTTAACCCTCTCACACTGTCTGGTTAGGGTATGTGTGAATAGAGAACTGAATTAACGAATCGAATGAGGGAAAAACATCAGCCTCAGTTCCAGGTAACTAATCATGGACAGTGTTTAACTTGACCCAGTTAGCATTTCCCCTCTGTTTAGTTACCATCTAACCCCGTCTAACCCTGTCTAACCCTGTCTAACCCGGTCTAACCCGGTCTAACCCGGTCTAACCCGGTCTAACCCTGTCTAACCCTGTCTAACCCGGTCTAACCCCGTCTAACCCCGTCTAACCCCGTCTAACCCCGTCTAACCCGGTCTAACCCTGCCTAACCCTGCCTAACCCTGCCTAACCCTGTCTCTCTATCTGTGTGTTAATGGATGCTAGCTTGCAAGTTAGCTACGGCGTCATAGCTAGGCTTCGTGGGTTGTTGTGGGTAGTTACTGTGTCTTGGCAGCGTCCTCGGCCGTGCCGGCTGTAGCACGAAGCTAGCTAGCTAGCCGTTCTTCAAACAAAGTCAACACAGTGGCCATTGCTAGCTCCCCAACACGACCAGCTAGCTGTACTGTAGTAGCTAACTACAATATACTTGTCCTAGCTAGCCAACGTCTAATCATTGCTGCGTCATGAAAGGAACTTGACACAGACACGAATGATCTGTTTAGTGTGTTATCACATTATTGGTGGTTTGTTGTGACCAAGTGTTGGTGCTAAACGGTGTGTTATTGTTATTGGATGCTAGCTTGCTAGTTAGCTATGGTGTCATAGTTGGCTAGCTGAATAAAGTGGGTTGAGTCTATTCCTTTAAACATTGAACCGCTGTGGTTCACAACAATTCTGATTTCTAAAGGCGGAAGTTGGGAGAGTTTTTTGTTCGGGTGGTTCAGTGAAACAATTTTAGTTTCTGAGGTAGAAGTTTTTGGTGAGGGAGGCCCTGCTCTCTCCGCTCCCAGATGCTTAGCCCATTTCATTCCGATCTCCTCTGCATTTTTGTAGCCATTTGCTTCAGCCTGTCAACTATGCCTCTGCCTATCCCTGTTCTCTCCTCTCTGCACAGGCTACACAAACGCACCACACCGCGTGGCTGCTGCCTCTCTAACCTGGTGGTCCCTGCACGCACCACCCACGTGGAGTTCCAGGTCGCAGGCAGCCTCTGGAACTGCCGTTCTGCTGCCAACAAAGCTGACTTCATCCCAGCCTATGCCAACCTCCAGTCCCTCGACTTCCTGGCGCTGACGGAAACATGGATCACCACTGAAAACACTGCTACTCCTACTGCTCTCTCCTCGTCTGACCATGTGTTCTCGCATACCCCGAGAGCATCTGGTCAGAGGGGTGGTGGTACAGGAATCCTCATCTCTCCCAAGTGGACATTCTCAATTTTTCCCCTAACCCATCTGTCTATCTCCTCATTTGAATTCCATGCTGTCACAGTCACTAGCCCATTTAAGCTTAATATCCTTGTCATCTATCGCCCTCCAGGTTCCCTTGGAGAGTTCATCAATGAGCTTGACGCCTTGATAAGTTCCTTCCCTGAGGATGGCTCACCCCTCACAGTTTTGGGGGATTTCAACCTCCCTATGTCCACATTTGACTCATTTCTCTCTGCCTCCTTCTTTCCACTCCTCTCCTCTTTTGACCTCACCCTCTCACCGTCCCCCCCTACTCACAAGGCAGGCAATACGCTTGACCTCATCTTCACTAGATGCTGCTCCTCTACTAATCTCACTGCAACTCCCCTCCATGTCTCCGACCACTACTTTGTTTCCTTTTCTCTCTCACTCTCCTCCCACACTACTCACTCTGCCCCTACACAGATGGTAATGCGCCGCCGCAACCTTCGCTCTCTCTCTCCCACTACTCTCTCCTCTTCCATCCTATCATCTCTTCCCTCTGCTCAATCCTTCTCCCTCCAATCTCCTGATTCTGCCTCCTCAACCCTCCTCTCCTCCCTTTCTGCATCCTTTGACTCTCTGTGTCCCCTATCCTCCCGGCCGGCTCGGTACTCCCCTCCAGCTCCGTGGCTTGATGACTCATTGCGAGCTCACAGAACAGAGCTCCGGGCAGCGGAGCGGAAATGGAAGAAAACTAAACTCCCTGCCGACCTGGCATCTTTTCACTCCCTCCTCTCTACATTTTCTTCATCTGTTTCTGCTGCTAAGGCCACCTTCTACCACTCTAAATTCCAAGCATCTGCCTCTAACCCTAGGAAGCTCTTTGCCACATTTTCCTCCCTCCTGAATCCCCCCCCCCCCCCCCCCTCCTCTCTCTCTGTGGATGACTTCGTCAACCACTTTGAAAAAAAGGTTGACGACATCCGATCCTCGTTTGTTAAGTCTAATGACACTGCTGGTCCTGCTCACACTGCCCTACCCTATGCTTTGACTTCTTTCTCCCCTCTCTCTCCAGATAAAATCCTGCGACTTGTGACTGCAGGCCGCCCAACAACCTGCCCGCTTGACCCCATCCCCTCCTCCCTTCTCCAGACCATCTCCGGTGACCTTCTCCCCTACCTCACCTCGCTGATCAACTCATCCTTGACCGCTGGCCATGTCCCTTCCGTCTTCAAGAGAGCGAGAGTTGCTCCCCTTCTCAAAAAACCAACACTCGACCCCACTGATGTCAACAACTACAGACCAGTATCCCTTCTTTCTTTTCTTTCCAAAACTATTGAGCGTGCCGTCTTTAGCCAACTCTCTTGCTATCTCTCTCAGAATGACCTTCTTGATCCAAACCAATCAGGTTTCAGGACTGGTCATTCAACTGAGACTGCTCTTCTCTGTGTCACGGAGACTCTCCGCACTGCTAAAGCTAACTCTCTCTCCTCTGCTCTTGTCCTTCTAGACCTGTCTGCTGCCTTTGATACTGTGAACCATCAGATCCTCCTCTCCACCCTCTCCGAGCTGGGCATCTCCGGCGCGGCTCACTCCTGGATTGCGTCCTACCTGACCGGTCGCTCCTACCAAGTGGCGTGGCGGGAAGCTGTCTCCGCACCACGTGCTCTCACCACTGGTGTCCCCCAGGGCTCGGTTCTAGGCCCTCTCCTTTTCTCCCTATACACCAAGTCACTTGGCTCTGTCATATCCTCACATGGCCTTTCCTATCATTGCTACGCTGACGATACACAACTAATCTTCTCCTTTCCCCCTTCTGATAACCAGGTGGCGAATCGCATCTCTGCATGTCTGGCAGACATATCAGTATGGATGACGGATCACCACCTCAAGCTGAACCCTGGCAAGACGGAGCTGCTCTTCCTCCCGGGGAAGGACTGCCCGTTCCATGATCTCGCCATCACGGTTGACAACTCCGCTGTGTCTTCCTCCCAGAGTGCGAAGAGCCTAGGCGTGACCCTGGACAACACCCTGTCGTTCTCCGCCAACATCAAGGCGGTGACCCGCTCCTGCAGGTTCATGCTCTACAACATTCGGAGAGTGCGACCCTGCCTTACACAGGAAGCGGCGCAGGTCCTGGTCCAGGCACTTGTCATCTCCCGTCTGGACTACTGCAACTCGCTGTTGGCTGGCCTCCCTGCCTGTGCCATTAAACCCCTACAACTCATCCAGAATGCCGCAGCCCGTCTGGTGTTCAACCTTCCCAAGTTCTCTCACGTCACCCCCCCTCCTCCGCACACTCCACTGGCTTCCAGTTGAAGCTCGCATCCGCTACAAGACCATGGTGCTTGCCTATGGAGCAGTGAGGGGAACGGCACCTCTGTACCTTCAGGCTCTGATCAGTCCCTACACCCAAACGAGGGCATTGCGTTCATCCACCTCTGGCCTGCTGGCTCCCCTTCCTCTGCGGAAGCATAGCTCCCGCTCAGCCCAGTCAAAACTGTTCGCTGCTCTGGCACCCCAATGGTGGAACAAGCTCCCTCACGACGCCAGGACAGCGGAGTCACTCACCACCTTCCGGAGACATTTGAAACCCCACCTCTTTAAGGAATACCTGGGATAGGATAAAGTATTCCTTCTAACCCCCCCCCCCAAATTGTAAAGTGGTTATCCCACTGGCTATAGGGTGAACGCACCAATTTGTGAGTCGCTCTGGCTAAGAGCGTCTGCTAAATGACGTTAATGTGCCCTTGAGCAAGGCACTTAACCCTAATTGCTCCTGTAAGTCGCTCTGGATAAGAGCGTCTGCTAAATGACTAAAATGTAAAAAAATGTAAATGTATCTGGTTAGGCAACAACATGGAAACAGGAGACTGATGGATCCTCATTGATTGGTTGACTCAGTCAGTCGGTACCAGACACCTCATCATGAGGTCCCCGTGGTGATGATCAACAAGGAAAACATCACCTCACTATCAGCAGCATTGATCAACGGTGCATCCTGTTCCTGACCTTTGACCCATTAGGACCGCATAAGTATAAACGTGCTTCCAAATGGCCGTCGGATTTTATGTTACTACACTAACTAAGAACCCAGCAGAAATGACCAAGGCACTGATAGATCAATAGATGGATAGACCGCTAGACAGGTTGATGTTAAAGGGGATACTGTAGAGCTTCCTGTCCTTGGACTCTGATCTCATGCGGGTGAGCTGCTGCCTGTGGCAACGGAGGCTCCAGGGGTTGTGGCTGATCTTCTCTGAGACCAGGCCGCTGTTATTATCCAGCATCTGGAAGGGAACATCACTGTAGATCTGGAGCTCTAGACGAGGACTCTTGAGCTCCTGGAGACTAGGGGGGGGGGGGGGGGGGACACACAACAAAGCACATAGGTCAAATAATGCACCCCAGGACACTAAAACATGTCCAACTTATTTAACAGACAGACAGACAGACAGACAACACAGGTTAAATACAAACACGGAACAGAGCACCACAACGCGTTACTGTGGATCTGTAACTCAAGACGAGGACTCTTGAGCTCCTGGAGACTAGGGGGGGGGGGGGTCAACAAAACACATAGGACAACAGGGTTAACACAAGAGAGAGAGACCGCAGGTTAACAAACAGGTTAACTACAGCACCACAACATGTCAGTGTGGATCTGGAGCTCCAGGGGCCTCATTTAGAAACAATGCATATGTACAAAATATACACCAAAACATGCCAGTTCACACGCAAAAGTTGGCATTTATAAAAACTGAATTTGATGTGAGAATGTGCTTAGCTTCCCGCAAACTTTAGACAATGCGTACACTCTAGTTAGCCAACCTACATTATTCCAGCCTTTCATAAGAACAAACAACCCTGGTCCTACTCACTTCTCAGTGCTGTCGCTCTCCTGCGGTGGCCTCTCCTCCTTCACCTCTGAGGTGGAGCGGTGGAGGCTCCGGCGGGAGTGTTTCCTCCGGGGTTGGTCCCTCTCCGGTACTTCCTCGTGGTCCAGACTCTCGCTCTCCACGCACGGGTACGCCAACAGGTTGATGTAGCCGTCAATGTCCCCCTCAAAACACACCAACACCATGCCTAGAGAGAGGGGAGATGGGTGGGTGATTTACGCAATGACATTTTAAAATACTTCTGGATACACTACAATGTTGAAATTAAAATAAATTGGATTACAGAGAGAGACAGAGGCGGGTGGGAAGGTAGGGTGGGTAGGGCAGGGTGGGGTAGGGTAGGGTGGGGGTAGGGCAGGGTGGGGTAGGGCGGGGTGGGGGTAGGGCAGGGTGGGGTAGGGTAGGGTGAGGTAGGGAAGGGTAGGGTGAGGTAGGGAAGGGTGGGGTAGGGTAGGGTGGGGTAGGGCAGGGTGGGGTGGGGTAGGGCAGGGTGGGGTAGGGCAGGGTGGGTAGGGCAGGGTGGGGTGGGGTAGGGCAGGGGTAGGGTGGGGTAGGGCAGGGTGGGGTAGGGCAGGGTGGGGTGGGGTAGGGCAGGGTGGGGTAGGGTAGGGTGGGGTAGGGCAGGGTGGGGTGGGGTAGGGTAGGGCAGGGTGGGGTAGGGCAGGGTGGGGTAGGGCAGGGTGGGGTAGGGCAGGGCGGGGTGGGGTAGGGCAGGGTGGGGAAAGGCAGGGTGGGGTATTGAGAATACCTCCATCTGTGTGTGCAGTGCAGCTGTTAGCACTGATGCTAATGAAAAACAGTCATCTGGTAGATGGAAAAGGCTTTCCCAAAAACCTTCTCAATTAAAATGTTGAATGAGCCTGCATCAAATATTTTGACGATAATAAGGGTCTTCCATGGGATGAAAGAGCGATGAGACATAATGTGCTGTCAGAAACCTGCCACTAGAGGAACTGCACACCAGACAGTCAGGAGTTAATGAGCGGAGGATGAGCAGGGAAAGGGAAACGATATGGGTTCAGGTTTATAGGAGCTAGAGGTGAATGCCATCTCATCTGGCCAGGCAGTCTGTCTGTCACAACGTCAGGGTTAGAGAGAAAGCAGGAGAGAGAGAGAGAGAAACTAGAATAGAACTCATCTATCTCCTCTGATTAATTCTAGAGTGGTAGAGAATGTGTACGTGAAAGATCACAGTAGAGAGACAGAGAGACAGGCAGGGCGGGGCCAGAGTGGGTAAATGATGCTAGCCACTCAGAGAGAGACAGGCAGGGCGGGGCCAGAGTGGGTAAATTATGCTAGCCACTCAGAGAGAGACAGGCAGGGCGGGGCCAGAGTGGGTAAATTATGCTAGCCACTCAGAGAGAGACAGAGGCGGGTGGTGAAGGTAGGGTGGGGTATTGAGAATACCTCCGTCTGTGTGTGCAGTGGACACGTCTACTACTATGTGTAGCTGTTAGCATTGATGCTAATGAAAACAGTCTTCTGGTAGATGGAAAGGCTTTCCCAAAAACCTTCTCAATTAAATGTTGATCAAAAAGGTAGCCTATGCTGTTAGTTTTACAAACTCTACCAAGACATATGCGCTACAAAAACACAGCTAAACAACAGCCAGGGCAGGTCGGGGTGGAGTAGGGCAGGGTTGGGTAGGGTTGGACGGGGTAGTGCAGGGTGGTGTAGGGTTGGGTTGGGTTGGAGGGGGCAGGGCAGGGTGGGGTAGGGCAGGATGGGGTAGGGTAGGATGGGGGGTAGGGCAGGGTGGGGTAGGGTTGGACGGGGCAGGGTGGGGTAGGTTGGACGGGGTAGGGTAGGATGGGGTAGGGTTGGACGGGGTAGGGTTGGACGGGGCAGGGTGGGGTAGGGTTAGACGGGGCAGGGCAGGGTGGGGTAGGGTTAGACGGGGCAGGGCAGGGTGGGGTAGGGTTGGACGGGGTAGGGCAGGGTGGGGTAGGGTTAGACGGGGTAGGGCAGGGCAGGGTGGGGTTGGACGGGGCAGGGCGGGGCGGGGTAGGATGGGGTAGGGCAGGGTGGGGTAGGGTTAGACAGGGTAGGGCAGGGTGGGGTAGGGTTGGACGGGGTGGGGTAGGGTTGGACGGGGTGGGGTAGGGTTGGACGGGGTAGGGCAGGGTGGGGTAGGGTAGGGTTAGACGGGGTAGGGCAGGGTGGGGCAGGGTTGGATGGGGCAGGGTGGGGTGGGGTAGGGTTGGACGGGGTAGGATGGGGTAGGGTTAGACGGGGTAGGGCAGGACGGGGTAGGGTTGGACGGGGCAGGGCAGGGCGGGGTGGGGTAGGGTTGGACGGGGAAGGGTGGGGTGGGGTAGGGTTGGAAGGGGTAGGGCGGGGTGGGGTGGAGTAGGGTAGGATGGGGTAGGGTTGGACGGGGCAGGGTGAGGTGGGGTAGGGTTGGATGGGGCATGGTGGGGTGGGGTGGGGTAGGGTTGGACGGGGTAGGGCAGGGTGGGGTAGGGTAGGATGGGGTATGGTAGGGTTAGACGGGGTAGGGTAGGACAGGGTGGGGTAGGGTTTGGACGGGGTTAGGGCAGGGTGGGGTAGGGTTGGACGGGGTAGGGCAGGGTGGGGGTAGGGTTGGACGGGGTAGGGCAGGGTAGGGTTGGACGGGGTGGGGTAAGGGTTAGACGGGGTAGGGCAGGGTGGGGTAGGATGGGGTTAGACGGGGTAGGGCAGGGTGGGGTAGGGTTGGGGACGGGGTAGGGCAGGGTAGGGTTGGACGGGGTGGGGTAGGGTTAGACGGGGTAGGGCAGGGTGGGGTAGGATGGGGTTAGACGGGGTAGGGCAGGGTGGGGTAGGGTTGGACGGGGTAGGGCAGGGTAGGGTTGGACGGGGTGGGGTAGGGTTAGACGGGGTAGGGCAGGGTGGGGTAGGATGGGGTTAGACGGGGTAGGGCAGGGTGGGGTAGGGTAGGATGGGGTTAGACGGGGTGGGGCAGGGTGGGGTAGGGTTGGACGGGGTAGGGTAGGGTGGGGTAGGACAGGACTGGGCAGCAGTGGGTAAATGCTCTTAGCTAGCCTCTCCTCTCCTCTCCTGCTGACTCTTCATGGATGGATGGATAGCAGCTAAGGCTTTAGGCTCTCAGATCCCTCCTTGATGATGTCACCAGCCGACCAGGACACAACACCACTAGCTAATCAATGGAAACATGGCTGATGTCAGGGGAGGACCGTGTGTGCTTGCGTGTGTAAGTGAGAGGCAGCCAGAGAGGGTAAGAGGAGAGATCGTGATTATGTGAGCCCAGCAGTGTACTGTGCTCCTGAAACAGAGGGCTAATTCTGTCAGGGATCAGTTAATTGACCATTAAAGATTCAGCCTCTGTGTGTGTGTGTGTGTGTGTGTGTGTTCATAGGTCTTACACACATAGACTGGTTCAATCCCAGGTGAGTCCCTGGCATGAGCCGGTATTAAAAAATCTTCGCCTTTTACAACATAATAAACAAGATTACATGGACAGAAGGGACCTGATCCCAGATCAGCACCAGAAGGGACCTGATCCCAGATCAGCACCAGAAGGGACCTGATCCCAGATCAGCACCAGAAGGGACCTGATCCCAGATCAGCACCAGAAGGGACCTGATCCCAGATCAGCACCAGAAGGGACCTGATCCCAGATCAGCACTCCTATTTTGAGACGTTCTATGAATATGGGCCCGTCTTCCATTTCATGCAACAGAAGCTAACTGAGTTCAGCAGCACTGAATAGGAGGACCATGTTGATCTAACTCAGGGGTTCGCACACTTTTTTGGCCCACGACCCCATTTTGATATCTGAAAATTCTCGCGACCCCAACCATGTGAAAAAAATTATGTCATTAACAGCCAATGTTCACTTTTTTATTTGGGGCTATGGCAGTCAATTGAAAAACATTCTAACAGTATTTCTGATTGTCTTCTCAACTCACCATCACATACTTTTAATGTGGGGCTATGACAGTCAATTAGTCTGACATCATGTCTCTTATCTCACCACCACTAATGATATGGGTGTGGCTTGATGCATGTGGCATTGGAGCTTCTCAAAGTCGGGGGGCGTGGTCGACAGTGCACACCTCCTCTCTGCTGTCAAATCCAACCTGGATCGATATTTGGTTTGAATGCAGACGAGAGCACTGAATCCAGCTTCACACAGATATGTGCTGGCGAAGGGTACCATGAGATTTATGGTGCCTTCAAGACAACTGGGAAGTCTGAAAAATACGACGTCAAATAATGATGTCAGTGATCTTCAAGTCGGAGCTCTAGAAAGAGTCCCGAGTTGGATGACCGTTCAAAAGTTGTCTTCAGTTGTCTTGTACACACCGAAGTCGGAGATTTCCCAGTTCTGAGTTCCCAGTTGTCTTGAACACACCGAAGTCGGAGATTTCCCAATTCTGAGTTCCCAGTTGTCTTGAACACACTGAAGTCGGAGATTTCCCAATTCTGAGTTCCCAGTTGTTTTGAACGCGCCATTAATGCTCAGGAGGGAGACAGCAGGGTATTTATTCCCTTTGAGTCAAGAACCAAAACTCCTCCGTAGTGACCCGTGAATGCAGCTCGATCAGCTGTTCCATTTCACCTACTGGCATGACAACTGAGCCAGGATCACAGTCAAACGGATTGGGAAGTAGGTCCCAAAGTGCTCTTCCCAGTGTTGGAGGTGAGCAGTCATCACTCGTGTGGGACACTTACCGATGCTGTTTTCTGTTAGAAACATGCACAGCCGAGGGAAGGGGGCATGGTTCTCTTTTGAAAGACTCTCCAATAAGAATTCTTTCCTCAAAATCCACTGATTCAGTCACTCATTTGTAGAATGTTTTTCTATTTCCCCTGCATGCTTGCGTTCAGTTCCCTCTTGATTACTAGCATTAGCATCCATTCTTTGTTTAACAGGGTTATCTGACAAAGGTATTGATGTGAGTTTCTGTGCCTCTGCCTCCCCACACATTGTTTTCACCATATCAATTGCGGCCGGTAATATCAAAGTCTCTGCAATAGTGTGTGGTTTCATAGCGTAGCGGACCTAGCCATTCACCGTGGGAATGACTCAAGTGCAATGGTCAAGTGTGGCCTTTTCCCATGATCTAAGGGCGCTCTCTGGTTGAATTTTACATTCTAGATTTTTTAAGTTAACCACATTACAATGATACAAAGATGATATTATAATAGATATATTTTTTCCCCCCAGGATTTTGGAAATTC